TGGGTGGGTGGGTGGATGGGTACATGGATAGATAGATGGGAGGATAGGTTGGTGGATGGGTGGGTGGATGGATAAATGGATGGATGGATAGGTGAATGGACGGGTGGGGTGGGTACATGGAGGGGTAGATAGATGGGTGGAAGTGTAGATGGATGGATGGATAAACAGATGAGTGGATGGGTGGAGGGATAGATGGATGGATGGGTGGGCAGGTGGGGGAGGGATAGGAGAGTGGACAGGGTGAGTGGGTAGATGTATGATGGATGGCGATGGGAGGCTAACATCAATAAAGATTGATTTCAAATGATGAGGCCGAGTGACAGTGCCCCCGTGTGCTCCTTGTTCTGCTCCGGGGCAGCGCTCTGTGGTGACAGTGACACATATAAAAGGAGAAGAGTCGCTCACACTGAAGTCATGGTGTTTGTCTCCGAGGGGAGGGCCTGGGAATCGGGATGAGGAAGACTGACTTTACCTACAACGTTTCCTCTGGTTGTTAAAAATGACAAAGTGCTCCCCACTATTGATTGTGTCTGATGGATACACGGGTGTCGATGACGTTTTTATGTCTTTCTACGTTTTTGATTTTATATGTAATAAAAACAGCACAGATTTCAAAGAGCTGAGGCACTCCGGAGCCTTCTGGGGACCTGCCTCCCTGTCACAGGGGCCTGATTTGGGGCCATGGACTTGGGGCTCTGGAGGACCGGCTTCGGTGCTGTCACATCTGCAGAGTCCTGTTGATGACTTTTCTCTTAAGGCAGAAAATTGGCTCCAACAAGGTCAAGTTCAAGTCTCTCTGATTAAGTCTTTAGTCCCCATTGAATGTCCTACTGGCTGACAAATGAGCGGGAGGAGTCTACCGGGGGCAGGTGACCTGAAGTCAGCGGGCAGATGCACAGGACGGACACTTCTTGAAACAAGAGTTTTACGTCTTGGTATTGACCTGGCCACAGGATGACAAGGAGGCTGTTTTGTGACAATATTCAAGCAGTTAAGGGACATGTTGGGCACAGATGAGAGGGGACAGGCTTGTTGCAACAGGGAGCTGGCAATCTACAGAGCGTGGCCCAGGCTCAGTCCAGACACGAACAACGGCCCTGGCAGGAGCCAGACGGGAGCCACAGCAGAGACCTGAGGTCGGGGCCCCAGGGAATGGAGCCCGGCTGCTCAGGTGTCCCCGGGGGTGGTGCGCCACTGTAAGGGCGACGGGTCATGGCCCACTTACTCGTGAATTCTCTAAAGCCCACCGAATTGTCCCTTCCCAGGGGTGAACCGTGCACCACGTGAATCACACTGAGTTCTTCTTAAAGAAAGAAAACTTCTTTTTGGTCCCGGCTGAGAAACTGCAAAGACGCAGGCCACGAGTTTAGAACTCACGGATACGAGTCCTGGCCACAGACCTCGCCCACTCCCCGTCAGGAGCCTGCCCACGGGCTCCACCGGGTCCTGCGCCCCAGTCCTGGCTTGGTCGCCACCCTGCTGTGGGCAGCAGCCTCCTACCTGCCCTCCTCCTCCGTCCTCCCCACAGAGAAGCTAAGACCCCCCCACAGACCCAAGGAGCCACCCGCTCTGAACCAAACCACTGAGCCAGGCCACCATGCCACGCACGGGCTCACTGTCCCTCCTCCCCCCA